TTCAATTTATTTTATGGTTATTTTTTCAACTCATAATACGTATATGTGTTCCTCAACGTGGCTAATGACTGATCGTTTCCTTTTTTCTCGGATGTATTCTCGATATATTCTCACATCTTGAAGGGCCCATCAAGATTTCTCAGAATTGCCGCTATCCTTGCGACATTACGCAAATTACACAGAAATGTCACATGCGCTTGATGAATGGTGAGCTGCATGTTTCGTAAAAACCATATGCAATGCGAGAATCGGACGAAAGGAGCCACATGTGTCTCCATTCCTTATGTTCTTAATATTTGTTTGAAAAAGCGGGATAAATTTGGAAGCAGCCTTCTCCACGAATTCCAATAAAATCTTCGCTAATACGGCTGTTGCCGAGAACTGCCAGAGACTGCTTATTTCAATTTGACGATTGAGATATTCATTGAGATTGCAAAGCCCCATGCCAGAGATAACAGTGTCGAGGGATATGCTGGCCCCAAGAGATCAGCTGTAGATCAGCTGGTCTGAACCAAGTAGATCATAGGGGAGGCGGCAGTTGTTGATCGTGGGTGGTCATGGGAGACCACCTTGCCAGAGGCAACTGATTGGCGCGGGAAGGTCCCAATAAAAGGGGTCCGGGTTCCTTTGTAGTATCTCCAGTTCCAGTTCCAGAGCTCCGGTGTTCCAGAGCTCTGGTGTTCCAGAATCCAGCGTTCCAGTGTTCCGGTGGCATCTGTGTGGTGCCTTAGGTGTAGTTGGTTGTGAGCTGTACGGCCCGTAAGAAAGAGGGCCCAGGCTCAGAAGTAGCCTTTGTGGCGAGGTGACAAGAGCCTCAGTGGCTCAGTGGTTTGGCCTCAGTGGCCTGAAGAGAGGAGCCTTAGTGGCTCGGTGACTTGGCCTCAGTGGCCAGTTGGGAAGAGCCTTAGTGGCTCGGTGAAGAAAGCCTTTGTGGCTCACGTTGAAGAGGGATTGCGCCGTGCATCTGGTTGCAGACCTCAGTTCAGTGGTTCCCGGTCCCGCCGACATACGTCGCCCGCCATCAACCCGTGATCTTCATTGCCTATTTATTGTTGTTTTTCTGATTTAAATAAACCTTCCTTTCTACTTGTCAGCTCAGTCAATAAGGGTTACTCCCACGTCGCAGTACACGAATCCGTCATACACTACAAAATATGCTATCAGTGAGATATGCTATCAGCGGAATAGCGGAGATGACTAGCAACAGCGAGTAAGTCAGACACCAGCTTATCCTATTGCTACGTGGACACATTTCGCGATAACATCCCAACCTAAAATCTGGATTAATAACAAGCGAGGAGGCGTCTGTAAGGAAGCCGTACATACTGAATTCGTAAATTTTGGAAAGACCTTCGTTTTGCTGTCATTAACACCGATATCTTCAGTAGTAATACCATAGCAATATCACCATCTTAATTGCAACATGCGAAAACGATTCCTTTTTTGCCGAAGTAACCGATGGTTGACGTCGACGAAACGGTTACTAGCGCCGCGAAAATCCCCTCATCTTCAAGTTTGAGCATCACTCAGCCTCGCGATAGGCATAAGCGTCAAGCAAGGAATTGACCCAAAAACGTAACAAGACAGAACATGAGTGGAATAAGAAACGCAAATACCAAGAAGATAAGAAAATGGTATGCTCTGATTTGATATTGGACTTAGGGTGCCTGATCCTGTGCAGACACATTTTCCACTCAGGACCTTCCGACCCGGACACACGAGCCCTCTAAACTTGCGCGCTTTGTTAAGTTGTTTTTGTTATCTTACTTTATCATTTTTATCAAGGTCAAAGTATCGCGAATCAATTTGTCGTGGTTCGGGAGCGCTTGCACTTCTGACTCCAAACATGCCGCATCAAGGTGGTCCTTTGCGGAGCCACGCTGTTTCCCGCAAGCATGGCCTCCGCTCCCCGGGGCGTCACGGGTTCCTAACCCAGGGAAGGGGGGTTTAAGGGTCGCGGTAAGCGGTAACCCGCGGGGGCAAGGCCCACCGTCGGCCCGGGCTTTCCCAGCCCAAGGGCCGAGGGCTCCCTTGCCCCGGCTAACACCCCACAACATAACAGCACACAAAACCTATTGCGCCTTAGTCGGGCGCCCTGCTCCTGGCGTCCCATTGCTAAACCCCAACACTAACTACACATTGTAATTACTCACGTTTACTTGCGGTAAACCTCGACGTCTACATCGTCCTTCTTGTGCAGAGGCTTGGAGCCATCGCTTCATCCATCCTGCGAATGTTGGCGCACAGCGTCCATAGGGTGTAGCGGACGTTGACGTGCCAGCGCTTCCGACCGGACGGAGCAGCATGCCCGACCATGCTGCCAAGTGCCTTCGAGCCGTCAGACTTCCTCGTGTTGCCCAGGCGCGACACCCCTCCCAGAGAGGGCACGAGCAACTATCTTAAAGGCAAAAGTCGGGCTCAATAAGGGGTATTATGGCGATTGAAACTGAGTATAGAGATGCGAAGTGGAACGACAGTGGAGAAAAAACTGAGAAAAACCGTCGACAAGGCCGTTAACAAAACCCTCTTTCCCACTAGCAGTGAAGGAGGCTGGCTTGGGGAAGAGGCACGTACAAACAAGTTTTCTGGAGATGTCAGTCGTTCTATCGGTTGATACGGCAATCAACCTAGCTGATTTCACACGTTATGCCAGCCACGCACCACATCCCAAGGGGGCCGGGCGGCGATAGCGCATAGTACATGCCCTGGGGCCTTATTACTGCGCCGTTTCGGGTTTTGAGTGTGGGAACATCTCTACGGGTGCGTAACCAAGTACAGGCATGACCGAAAGGGTTGGTTTGGTCAACTAATCCCGACCTTTGCCTTTAAGTAGCCCCGACTAGAGGCGGAACTGGAACAGCGCATGCCCCTATAGTCGATTCATGCCGTGTGATCGGTCAGGGAGCACAGCAGTAGGCCCGCAACCACAGTCGCGAACTGCAACATGATTATCTTTTTGTGCATAAAGGTTTCTACGAAATTCTTAGCGCGTCTCCCAGAAAGAGAAAATGGTAAGGAGTGATAGGAGTTGATAAGAGGCACTAAAATGCAAATTCACGAAGTTCGTAGAGCGCATCCCAGCAGCACGTTGGTTCCAAGATGTGATGCTCTCATAGGGTGGGATGGGAACATGTTCGGTGGGGGACAGAAAGTGATAACGGCTGATAAGGACTGATAATAACGATATGCGTAAGAACATAGAGATCACTCAAAACCAGATTAGATAACGCATTTCATTTCAATATCATTTCATTTGCGTTGTATTGTCAAACTCAAACACCATTTCGACCGCTGCACCTCTAGAATTCTAAGAATGAGTGGGATGTTATAAGCAATATGATAATGAGTGCTCATGAGCATCAAAAATTATTCCACCGCTAAATTATCCGATGCATGGTGGTTGTTTACATACATCACTTTAGCTGTGCACTTCACTGCGCTTATCAAACAGTGAGCTTCAGTGTATGTGCAGCCTATGCAACGGTCAGCCAACGCACTTAACGATGCAGCTTATTGCTAAGCGGTGGAACCTAACGACTGTCCAGTTTCTCCGAAGCGCTTCGCGTAATTCGTGGGGAAGCGGTATGCGGTAACTGGTAAGATAATACGTGAGTGACTCATTCGAAGTGTGCCTTCGATAAGGAGCGGTGAGTGCCCTTCATTTCACACATCTGCCCACATCCTGTTGATTTTTGTACCTTGTCATTCACTCTGACGCTTCCAC